GGGCGCTACCTGGAACCGTGCGAGCTGTGTATCTCCCCCACTTCATCTGCCTGTCAGGTACGGAGCCATGGGACCTGCTCCAGGCACAGCCCCCTGCTGCTCAGGCACCTGGGTTCTCCCAGGCTGCTTTCCCTCAGCCTCCAGTAGGGATACCCTCAGGACCTGCTCACACAGGTGGGCACAGAACAGAAGCTCATCAAAACATCTTCATGGGACACCCTTCAGACTCAGCCAACTTTTTCTTCCCTTCAGAGGTAGCCTGTGCTCTCTTGTATTCTTCCACCTTGCTTTGCCATCCTCCATCCTTTTCTCATGTTTTATTAAACATTCACAGTGCTCCCTTTCCCACCACCTGCTCTGCACTCACACCACTGCATTCTCCTCCCCTCTTCTCGCAGTGGCTGTGGTGACCCACAAGGTTCTGCCCCAGATCCACAGCAGTCCCAAGCTGCTACCTCAAATTTGCAGTTTTCTGAAACCTTAGGAAGACTACCAAAGGCCGGTAGCACCCTGCTGGAACCCTATAAATCCCAGAGTATTTAGCACCCCTAAAGCAGAGCATGTCATTTTGTATTGGTTTGTGTCTCCTTTTTTTCTAATAAACCCTCAAAGAGAAAGAGGTAACCTGGTAGGGTGCAAGGAAGACAAAGCAGAACCTTGTTGCCTTTGCTGTCTCTTTCAGATGTAGACATCAGTGGGTGCTCGATTGCCCATTTTGAATTCCAGAAGATGACCATACAGCAACCAACAGAAGTGATGGCCTTCTCCGCTGTCCTGGAGAATCCCAGCTTCTCTCTTCTTGGAGTGGTTTGGAGAAAGTTACGTTCAGCCATTTCTCTCCCTATGCACTCCTTAGTGCTGATCTTCCAGCAGCTCTCCGCTGCAAATACAACCCTGCATCTCTACCTGATCCCAGATGACAGCTCTGTGAAGGAGGTAAGGTGGAGGGAGCTTGACCAGTTCTGGGGATGGCATTTGGGTGGCTGCAGTTTCAGGGAATGGGTTTGTTAAGCAGAGAGCTCTCTCAGGAATCTCTGTGTTTTTGGCTGGGACAGCATATCCCAGCATGAGCAAAGACATGGCACAGGATGCTCTGCAACGTGGAGCAGAGCACATGTCAGACATGTGGCTGCTGCCATGCACAGTAATAGGTGGCTGCATAGCAGATGCTCTCCTGTTGTCTGCAGCCCTCACCCTCTGATAGCACTGCCTGCAATGCACGTTCAGGGCTCTGCTCTGATGGGATGGTCTCTTCTCTTCTTGATTTTCCAAGGTCAGTGAGAGCTACCTCCAGCTCACAGCTGTTTTTTTCAACACTCAAAAGTGATCCTTGATGTTTACAGGCCATTGAAAGACAAGAGACAAGCTGGAACTCAAAGCTTATTCCCAAGCCTCATCCATTCCATCCCCTGTTTTTTGGCCACAGATACCAGGTGTCCAGTAACACTCAAGTGAAGATTACACCTGAAGTAAGTGGGACAGTTTCCTTTTTTAAATTATTTTGGTTTTGAGTGAAACAGAAAGTTCCACAGCTTCTCTGGGCCTCCAGTTCAGCATAGTAATCTTTAACCTATTATCTAATCAGAATTTCAGACTTGTCTCAGCCTCTGTACATTACCTCATCTCATCACTGTACAATTCCAAGAGGCTCTACCTTCTCTTAACACTATTGAAAACAGTTAGTTCTTTTCTTTGCCCTTTCTTCTCCAGGAAAAAAAAAAACAAGTCACTCTGCCACTGCTTGAACGTCATGTTCTCCAAATTGCAGTGGTGATGCAACGCTCAGAGAACATAAAATGGTGGTAAAATCTCTGCTCTTTAAGGCTTTCAGTATTCTGCTCGACCAAACCAATGCTGAGCCCATCTAGAGTTGGCAACACAGTCCTTCTGTGAAGGACAACAGATGAGACACTCCAGAGTTCCATGCCTCTCACACTTTTTTCTTTGTTTCTGTGTGGCCTGGAAACATGAGATGATGTTTGTAAATTCACAGCTCCACAGCGTGACATCCAACTTCCATCTTATCTCTACAGCCACACTTGCCATTTTGCTACAAGAGTCCAGAGGACCAACAGCTCTTTGTTGAGATCTACATCAGGAAAATGGCTGAGGAAGTGGAATTCTTTATCACAGATGGACAGAATGACACCGAGGTCTGGAGGGCATCGCTGAGGTCAGGTAGGATCAGATGCATCTGTAAGGGGGATTGAGATGATGGCACACTGAGCTGCACTTCTCGTGACAGCAAAAAGAGAAGCTCAGATACTCTGAGTGCAGGGTATGGAATTGTGCCTTGGGATTCCCTCTCTGTTAGGCTAATTCTGCACCCCTAAACTAACACCTGCAAATGTACACAACACTGCACCCTGCTTAGCTGAGCTCTTAACAGATGGGCAAGGAATACTGTAAGCAGGAATTAATGGCTAATGGGTCCATGGAACATCAGGCATCTCAGTAAGGCTTCTAGAAAGAGTCTCCATTTCTGTGATGGTGTATTTCATAAGCTCCCTCCTTTCTCTTTCAGGTGATATTAGTCATTCTAGAAACGAATCCAAAAAGCTTTCAGGTCAGTACGGGTTTTCAGAGCTACAGTTATTGAGTCTGAATATTTATTTGGGGATTTCAATCTTCTGGCTTAAAGCAGATAACCAACCACCTTTTTCCCATACCTGTGACTCTTTCATGACAAAAAAAACTTGTAAAGCTTTTATTATTTCACTGCTGCCTGCATGCTCTCTAACCTGGCATAGTGTTGAGGACCCTCCAAACGGTTTTGCTTTCTCTGTGATCAGACATACTCTTTCTATAGAGAATGAGCTACAGCTAGTACAGTTCACAGCCCAGAAATATTACATGGGACTTTCAAAATCTGGTGGAGTTGGAGCATCTCATACCTTATCACAGAGCCAGTGCTTCCCTCTTCCTTCAAATACCGTAGGATCATGGAAGGGACGGTCCCTGGGCTGTCACCAACCTGACCTCCCTCAGCTCGGGCCCTGTCCTTGCCTTGGCTCCAATGCTTCCACCGCTGATGAGGGAGCTTTCTTCTGGTGGCTCAGCCTCCTGGCCAGAGAGCAGCACTGCTGGTGCACTGGAGGGAATGGGAGCACGTGGCTGTGGGACAGAGCAAAGGGCCCCTGGGTGTGTTGGCTAGGATGCAGAATACCACAGCAGGAACCAACCTGCCTTGTCACGTGCAGCACAGTAACACACGCTTTGGTATCTGCTAGGTGCAGCCTTCCTGAAGAAGCACAAGACAGAGCTTTGTTCCAGGATGGGGCAGCTCTCCTCCATTCTGCTAAATTTAAGTGTTGAAGATGTAATCAACAGTGAAGAAGAAGAGGAGGTGCAAGCTCAAAATACAAAACAAAAGAAGAATCAATTTCTGCTGGACCTAGTGGAGAAAAAAGGGCTCAAGGCCCAAGAGAAGCTCTTTCAGATCCTCCAGACAAAAGACCCATTCCTTGTTGAAGACCTG